TGAGGTTTCACTACATAGTGAAGCAATTTTATACATGTAAACTTTAATACTTTAAAGTCGGGGACCATTTTAGTTGATTACAAGATGTTCCCTTTTTTTTACGCAAAGACATTAGATGAGAAATTGGAAGCAAAATTCCGAATGCATTTATTAAATCCTAAATTTGATTTACAAGCGAGAACTTGTACAATTATAATAATAAAAAAACGCGATGCACCAGGTAAAAAAAAAACAAAAGAAACAAATGTTTGTATTGACAATGATTATGATAATCAAAATAAAATTTGAATATTTTCTTTCATTATGACATTATGAGATTATTAAATGTATTTTCTAATCCGAGACATTCATACAATACCTTATTCAATAATTAAAATTTTAAATTTTAACACCAGGCGATTAAAAATTTTCAAAATAACATTATGTAATAGTAAATGTAATCGTTTTGTAATCGCTGTGAAACATTGAGACATTCGCGTAACATGGGTGTGTGATTTAATAAATTGGCGCGTTAATAAAATAAACTTTATTACTTTCGGTCTTATTTTATATAATGATTAATACAAATCAATCATTTTCTTTTTTTAAAGTTATATAACGTAATTTAATTATTGATATTACTAAAGCTTTTGAAACAAAAAAAAAAAAAACTTGAAGCCAAAACGAAAAAAAGACATGAGAAAGTACCAAGCCTCATCCGGTTAATCATTTTCGGAAAACATCTTTCGTCCGAAAGGATCTTTGTACGGAAAAAATGCACGTTTCCGTACTAAAGTTTCTTCATAAGGATAACATAAGCATTGAGTAATTACGTTGTCAATCTACCAAGTTTGTATAGTGCATAAACAAAGGGTTTTTTGACTCGTCTTTGTAGAGTAACTATATCAGTCGAAGATCTGATGATCAAAAATAAAAAATATTCGAAAAGATTAAAATATCATTTTTTTTTTTTTTTTTGATGGAAAAAATTCACGTTTTCAAAATCCAGCACTTTGATTGGTCGCGCTGTGTGGTGTTAAAATTTTCCCAATTAAAACTTGTACTCAATTTATCAATTGAAGGCAAACAAACAAATAAAATAAAATAATATTAGCAAAAATGAATTAAGTTTATGAAGTTTGATATAATTTGTTCATAAATTTTATTACATATAATTAAATTTTTACAAGATCTTTCGAATTTGATTAAAAATAAAACAAAGTACTTTCATTCCTCCCATTCAAAACTAACAACATCTCGATCTCGATAACCGGATAACTCAAATCTATAATCTTTAATAGTCCAAGTTCTTTCATCGGAAAAATTTTTTATAAGGACATAAAGATTCTTTAAGATATCATATACTTCCATCCCTCCACTTTTCCAAATAAATTTAAACGATTTCAATTTGTTTGATTTAACGTTACTTAAGAAGAGAGGTAAAGTATCCTGATTAAACGAACAATTCCTTAATATAATGTTTTGAATAGATTCCGGAACTTGTTGAGCAAAGTCAACAAAAAAAGAAGGTGTGATAGGAATTAACAGATTAAGATTAATTGACAAAAGGTTCAAATTATTTTTGAAAATGGAATAAATAATGTCTAAATCATTTAAATTATGAATATTATAAGAAATGGTTTGTAAGTTTAAACAGTGATTGGGGATCTTCTCAAAGATATTCTTAAAATGAAATTCCGTCAAGGTATTGAAATCGAGTTGAATTAAATCCGCATGATGGTTTCGTATCAAGGTGATTATTGATTGATGAACTTCACTCTCTTGAAATTGTAATTGATCGGAACTGCAAGTGTTCCAATCCAATTTCAACCGTTTTAAATTAGAGAATGGTACACTCTCATCATTATAATAATTTTCAACCTTATTTAATTCACCCAGTGTTAATTCCAATGAATTTCCCCATTCATCACTTAAAAAATAAAATCCCGATTTTTCAATACTATTATGAGATTCTAAGCTTAACTTTGCTATGGAATGAACGTTGCTACGTAACTCCGATAGAATTAATTTAACGAAATGAGTACTTTCACTAATATGTAATGTTTCAAGGTTGGGTTGTGATTTGATCGTTTCAATTAACGATGAATAAGAGATGTTATCCTTTTCGTCGCCATACAAACTTAGGGACAAATCTCTGATTTGATTGTTGGCCAATTTCAAAAAAAAAAATAATATATTAACGTCCTTGGCCAATAATTTACAATGAAAATTTCTTAAAGAGTGTGAGAAGGCATTTTCCTGCCCGGGTGTTTTCAAAAGGACGCCAAAGATATCATTTGACCGCCAAAAAAACATATCTATAACAAACGTCTTGATCCTCGAATTATTTATAACAATTTTATAAATCAATTCAACGAATATATCATAATAATTCTTATCTATTTTTTGTACCATCTCGTAGTACAAGTTGGACCGTTTTTGATCTTCTCGTATCTTTTTTAAGCATAAGATCACTTGATGATACATATCCATATAATCTAATTCTTTGATGAAGGATGCGTAATTAAACATTGCTTTCGTTGGGATGTAATAGCTTGTGATTGAATCATTGATTTTTATCATTTCCTTGGTGTCTTTATCAAGGTAGGATATTAAGGGTAATATCACTTTGAATGAACTATTAATAGTTTGATATTCCTTGAACGGGTTACTCCACAACATTGGCATACTTATTTGACACCACGTCCTGTTAACTAATATTATTGAGCATAGTGATTTTCTATCCGTCTCGAAAGATTTAAATATCTCTAAAAGGCACTCGTTTGGTAAATTTGATGCCATCGTTTTTTTTTTTTTTTTTTTTTTTTTTTAGAGGGGAAAAGGTAAAAAAAAAAAAAAAAAAAAGGTAAAAAAAAAAAAAAAAAGGAAAGAGGGAAAAAAAAAAAAAAAAAAAAAAAAAAAAAGAAAAAATAAAACAAATATAAAAATGAATAAAAAAAAAAAAAAAAAAAAGACGAATACGCAAAATAATAATTTACAACTTTTTTTTTTTTGAAATTGATTGCGGTACAATCGGAGTAGTTAAATACCAAAAAAAATTTTTTATTTTGATGATTGTTGGCTGCAACCTGCTGTGATTGTTCCTGTCAATTTGAAAGAAATTCAAATGTTTTTTTTGTCGGAATAATTATTATAGCTATGATCGACCCCTTCATTATTAATTGCTGACATAATAATTGACAAATTATTTTTGATAATCCTCCTTTAAAATTTTTTGTTTAATTGACATAATCACATGCAGATCATTCACATTGTCTCACGTTACACCATCATCGAATATAAATTGGTTCCCGAAAAATTGGATTGCATGTAATTTAATTTTTTTTTTTTTTTTTTCTATCTATAGTTGTCGTAGTAGTTGTATTTCGTGGTTGTTCATCCTTTTCAAATAAATAAAAATCGATTGATCCCTAAAATAATAACCATCAAAAGAATAAATCAAAAATGGCAGGATTTCCTAATAATAAGGAAGCTATACCAAAAGAATTAAGATACATGCAAATGGTACAAGAATCATGTGTTCTTAAAGTTGGTTTCAGTGGTGTAGGAGGTAAATATGGGGGGGGGGGGGGGGAAAAAAATAAAGAAAAGGAAAAGAAAAAAACCCTTCATCCGGAAAATTAACGTTTCATTTATACCCTTTTGCATGAATAGGGTTCGTATTGGGTGGAGTATTTGGGATGTTTATGTCATCATTTGAAATGGCTTCGGTAGATCCAGCAATCTATGAACAACCAATGAAACAGCAATTAAAAGCGACCGCAAAGGATATGGCAAAACGATCTTTTTCCATGGCGAAAAACTTTGCCATAGTTGGTTCAATATTTTCCGGTACCGAATGTGTGATCGAAACTGTAAGTACTTTGGTTCGATCTTTTAATCATAATAATACTTTACAAGTTTTAACCTTTTTTTTTTTTTATCGACATAGTACCGAGCAAAGAATGATTTATATAATGGTGTTGCATCTGGCTGTATAACTGGCGCCGTATTGGCTGCTAAATCTGGTCCACAAGCTACTTTGATTGGATGTGCAGGATTTGCAGCCTTTTCAACGGCCATCGAATATTATATGAGGAGAGAATAATAAGAAAAATAATGAAAAAAAAAAAAAAATTTGAGCAAAAAGAACATTTTATTATTATCTTAAGAAGAGGAAGACAAAGTCACCTTGGGATGGGAAAAAAGGATAATTCTAAATTATTATTACAAATGGAGAAAAATTTAACGAGTAAAAAGTAGTAATCATAATATAATAATATTTTATCAAAAGAGGGTGTAAATTTAACACAGTTTAGAAAATTGATATTTAAGAAATCAAACAAAAGCATCAAAAAGCATTATAAATTTCAATTCATTTAGAATTTTTTTTTTTTTTTTTTTGACATCTGACTTTAATTTATTCAGGTTGTAAATAAATAAAACGAATGAATATCTATTAAGTTCAAAATGGATAGAGAGCAAATAATACTAATAATACTAATAATACTAATAATAATAATAGTTACAAATAAATAATAAATAAGTAAGTAAGAAAGGAAGAAAGAAAGAAGACGCGTTCAACTCGCACATTAACGAAATTAAATCTAGAGAAGAACACATTCTCAACTTTCCCTGTATTATTACAATAATCTTTTTAAAAGCCCAACGTCATCTATCGTTTATAAATGTCAAATTCGAGATAGAAATATACATAAGGGTAATAATCTTTATCGATCAAATTTTGATATTCTTCAATATCATTATTTTCATCACGGCTAAGTGTACCACCAAGTTTCCCGTATTGATTATTTAGTATCTCCCTTATTTTTTTATCCATCTTATATTTTGGCTAGTATCAATAAAAGTCATGATTAGCTTATGTAAACTTATGTAATCAAAAGGGAATAGAATGACTTACCCTAATAATAGCTGACATAAAATCCGGTGGTAATCCGTAACGTAAAACAGACTCAACATAAACTCTCAATGCTTTGAGATGAATCCATGATGAGAATACTTCTCCGAAATTTGCAGTGGCCAATCTTAATAAATTTTCCTAAATACACATGATCATGTATTAATATAATCGTATAGATCTCATGACCATTATCGTAGAATTATAAAAATTTAATTTACCGATAACTCTTTTTCTACAGCTCCAACCTCCTCATATTCTTTGCGCTGATTTTCCATATCACTTTCATCGTATTTGAAATCTCTTACAACGAACCTTTTGAGTCATTAATAAAATAATTTAATAAATATAGAGAGAAGACTAGCGAATATTCCATGATACACAAGCTTGTAAATATAATTACTTTTCTTCTCGACATTTGTTCGCAAATTCGTTACTAACTTTCTTAAAGAGAGTTACGGTAAACAATCCAAAGTCATTATCTTCCGCAATTTTCCTATAATTTCATAAATCTATATTAGGACTTTTCACAAATTAGAAAAAACGTAATCAAATGCTTTCGCTTACTGGGAAGAACGTGGTACAATCTTATCCGTAATACGCTCATATTTGGCAAACCACTCTTTGTAAAGATTCCTTATATTCGGTAAGTTACAATTAGCAAGATATAAGGATAAAAACTTAGTTAAGGTCAAACGTTGTCTTACTTGGGAACCGCTACAACCAAAGTCTCCAAATATTCAGAGTCCAAAACGAAATGTTCCTTTTTAACAACATCTGCAACGTTGCGTACCGCTAAATTTCCACTGTTATGTAATTAAGACTAAATTTAATGGTTTGGTAATACAAGGAAAGTAAAAATTAAGAAGAAAACATCATATTACGTTTGCTTTCGTTCCAAAGCCTGAAGATTGCTTCTAACCTGGCTATAATGAGTAGATTTGGCCTTCATCATGGTATCGATTCTTGTCACTTCCTGATATATATATAATAAATTCACTTAGGATATATTTTTAAAATATATGTGTATAACAGACTTCAAATAAAGATAATGTTCAAACCTGGCTAATGATTTGAGCTATTTCCTGAAGAGATTTCTCGGCTCGAAATTTCAATGTGTCCCACTGAAAGGTCTTCAAATATTGTTCGACAGTTTCTGTTAAAAAAAATAAGGGATTATTTCATAAATGATAAATACCTACAAATAAGCGTTACTTTAAGAATTCATTGCTTGTAACAAATATTTCTATATAATAATAAATATAAAAGGTAACTTACTATCATTCACGATCAAATTTTCTGCAACTTGGTTCAAATCCCCCTTTAAAAGGTTGCGAAGAATATCGACAATCTTGAAGGTTGTTGATTCAAAAGATTGATCATATTTTATGAGTTCGTCTGAAATAACGACGAGTGCGTCAAGTGTTCCGATCTATCGAATCGGGAATTAAATATAATGAATTAATTCAAAAATATTTAATTTAAATAAAGCTCTCATATGTTTAGTAAAACTTGAGCCTACCTTAAATTCTGGGATTATGAATTGGTATACTTCGGCGTAATCAGAGCCTGAACCGGTTAACTTTGACTTTAAATTTTCGTAAACGGCTGATTTATTTTTTTCAGCAGGAACTATTTGTGATGCAAATAAAAGTTATTACTTTCACAGATAAAAAAAACTGTATTCTTTTTTTTAAAAAAAAAAAAAATACCAGAGATAAACCAGTAAGCGTTGTGCCTGTTTTTAGTAGACATTGTTAAAGAAATTAATTTATTGTATCTTGGTTTCTGAAGTATTTTATTTTATTTTATTTTATTTTTTTTTTTTTGAGAGAATACTTTGGTTGTTCAGTGCTAATATATAAATCAAATATCTAGAAACCGATTAGAATCTAGATCTGATTTTTATATATAAATCAGATATTAAAACTGAGTACTAGATTTAGTAAATCTGATCATTGATTTGGGTCAATATATTTTTTCCATTGGATCTTAAAATCTTCAACGTGAGCTTGGCGTCACAACAATCAAATTAAATCAGCCCTTTAAAAGTGGTGAAACAGATTTCGTACTTCCAATTTATGATGTTAAAATAGATAGTTAAGGATAGAATCAAGATAAATCAAATAAAAGTTTTTTGAATTTACAAAACTAGAAAATCGAATTTCGCCCTTTTGGTATTAAGATCTTTTGATCCATATCGATATTACATGTTTTGCTTGCTTTATTGATAATTGATCAACTGCTAAATTTCTAAATTGGGAAGGTTTAAACCCAAAACCAAGTTATTGGATAACAAATACGTATTAATGCTTTGTAACACGAGAAAATTTTAAAATAAAAATGTGCCGCGATAATTTTTTCTATTCATATTAATTAATAAAATGGATCAAAGTACACCTATGATAATTGATTCCATGAGCACGCCGCGTGTTTATAGTAATGCATCAAGATTTCAGGGAACGCCAGAATTTACACCTTCGATTTATGCTACCCCGCAAGTTCATTCTTCGGATATGCTTGTTAATGGCTTTCCCAGTATTGTTAGTTTCTGTTTATCAACATAGAAGCCATGTAACTCTCGCATTTATATTAAATCACTTTTATTTCTTTATTTTCTTAGATGAATTCATCCATTACCAACTTGGGGACAAGATTACTGAACACTGGTATTTCTTTTGAAAGTTTACTCGATAGATTATGACTTAATCTTTGTTGACATTGATTCAACTTTACAGATGGAATGTACTTTGGTAATGATATAATTCAA